TCCGGGCGGGGGCCGGCCGGAGCCGGCTGTCTTTGTATATGTTATTATTTTTGGCTGCGATGGTTGGCGGGGGGGGGGGGAGGGGGAGCCGCGAAAACTCGAACTTAAAACTTACACTCACTATTATCTTCGAAAATATGCGTGAGTTCCACAAAAAGCATTGCAATGCAACATGTTCATGAGAAACTATTTGTGTCGGAAGTTAAAAAAACTTTATTTCGTCATTTTTTTTTATCACTTTCGTTTTCATCTTGAGTATGATGATAAGGATATGGATGAAAGCGAGCGTAAACCAGTGATGTCCATCGCGGTTAAAAAACTCTCGCTGTTGCACAGTTGTAATTGAGAAAATCTGAACCGATATCCCTACCGTCATCGTATTGAAAATAAAGTTCAAAGAATATCCTCTTCGCCAAAATAAGAAAATATGTGTTATAAAAATTGTAGGAGCTGTTTACCGATTATAAATCCTTCATGTGAGTGTAAATCATCATATCTTGCACACTCACATCCTATGTCTGAAACTATTAGAATCAAAATTATTCTAAATACATGAAACTTAATTTCGTTAGTCTAAGTATTTTGCAACAATATTATGTCCAAATTACTAATATGAAGAATTGTCTCAATATTCTATTATAAAAAAAATATTTTGTCGATATTTAGTGTACAATTGAGTAAAACTTTTTTCTATCCGTTTATATATATATAGAATTAATAAATTAAATCAAATTTTTCATTTTGCATTCAAAGAAATTACACAAAAGCTTTGAGATTAAAACAACAATGAATGAATGTTAACAATAAACATTTGATGAAAATGAGAGATTTGTATGTAGTTTTTTGAAATAATTTTGTGTTTATATTTATTTTATATGAAAATGGGAATTTTAGATCTTATACGATCATTTTCAACCAATTAACATGAAGTTTTATTTTGAATCTACCCGAATATTGATCAAGAGATGTGATGTATGATCGTTTAAATAATGCGATTTCAAACTGTTCCAGTATCGACGAAGGTGTAAACATGAATGAAATGTCTGTATTTTTAGATTTTCATTGAATATTCTGGACATTTGAAAACTAATTAAAATTTAGTTTGATTTTTTTGACAATCATCAATACTAAGGAGAATAATAACCAGAGTTTGAAACAAAGGCAACGTTTCTTTGCACCACTTCGAAAAATTCCAGTTTTAGAAAGGATCTACTCGAACTTGATTTCCACAACTAAGTAGTATAAAAATGGGAATGAGGATGATGGTGTGGCTAGGTTAGAGAGAGAAACATTTACACTCTCATGATACCCTTTCGCTTTTCTTTCTTCCGAGTGAATATGTGTGAGAGCATAAGATGTATGATATTCTCTTGTTCTGTGCAAACTAAGATGAATGAAACTTAGTGCATGAGTGAGTTTTTTAGATCTATAAAATATTATTTATACTTTAAAGAGTCGGACAAGTCCATAAACACGCACTACTTGTTCGATATATCCATAAATTGCACATAGATAACAGATGATTATTTATCAGAGGAATTGCTTGGAGATAGAACAATAGAACGATGTTGTTGTACCAATTCTATCAACACCCGCATTTCTTCAGTTTGTTTTTCAAGTGACTCTTGTAACTGGTTTATTATTGCCTCTTGCAACCGTGTTTGCTGGTCTTGTTTTTCGACGATATCTTCAAGTTGCTGAATAGCACTATTTTTCCCTTGAATTTCTTGTTCTTGTTTTTTTATGATCTCTTTTAAATTTGTTATTTCATTTTGCATCGGTGTTGATTCAGATACGGTAGATGTCGATACAACTGACTGAGAATTCACCTTGAGTTGTTTTTGTTCGACTAGAAACTGAAGCTTTTTCTTTTCTCCATATGTAATTGAACACTTATTGTAATCATCTTCATTAAAATTGACCAAATCAGCTCCGGTGACACGTTCACTTTTCAATTTTTCTGCTAATGATTTTAAATTTGGGTCGAGTCGAAGTAAATATTCATACAATTCATCAATGGAGAATTTGTCAAGCGTTCTAGTCGATGGTGGGGTCAATTTCATTCCATCATCATTCGTCGATAATTTCGACAACATGCCTATAATAATAAGAAAACAATATATTAATTGACTGAAATTCTTGTAAGAGAGCTCAACTCCAGAAGATGTGACTCTAACATTCATTACTTACTCGATAAATATGTTGATCCAAGACGATCCATCTGATCTATATGTTGTTTAGCAAGCGGATTGGAATTAACCGTTGATGGTGATTCAATCGGTAACATTGGATGTGATGATAAGTGATTTAAAGTTTGTTTCCTATTATTAAAACATCTTAGACACAAATTATAGTTAGGACACATTTGACATTCATAACAAGCATTTCCAATGTCCAATGTATTGCAGCCATTACAAGGAATACCTTGAAAAGAAACAATAAAAAAAATTATTTTTTTCAAAGCAGTAATCAATGTATCTTACTAGAGTGTTTTAGCATAGTACTGTAGTTTAGTAATGATAACTGAGGTTGTTTGAATTATACTAAAATAAATAAAATTATATATTATCATTCTCTACACATTTGAAACCTATCAAATTACTCTATCAAAAGAGGGAAATAATATTGCGATATGAAGCGACAAAATATCGTTCTCTTTTGCGTTCGTAAATAAACAACAAAATATCAAGCCATTACCATCATTTTATTCGAGAAAGAGAACAGTTACTTTTTTATCGTTCTTTTACGCGAAGAAAATGTTTTCTTACTCACCGAAAAAGAAAGTATTAATCGGAGTCTAACATGTGTTGCGTTCTTCGATTACTAATCGCGTAAAAACACTGAGAAGTGTATGGGTATTTTTTTTCTCCAGTTGGTGGCGATAGTCGCTTGACTTACACGTCTATACCATGACATATAATTTGCAATGCATTATTCTTTAAACCCTTCGAAAAAAAAAGAGTCTATCGATGAAACAAAATTTGAATAGTAAGCAAATTGCACTGATGATACAAGGCGGCAGTAAATATTTGCAATGTCGATGTTCTCTACTCGACATATCACCCCGGAGGGGTTTTGAAGGGTAGGTGTTCGGTGAATAAAAATAGCATATTCGGATTCAGCGTGATCAATTACCTATATCCCCGTTGAGATCTCGAGAGGGTACCTCTGACCG